CCGTGCCGCCGACCCTTCGCAGTCCCGGCCGTAGGCAGCGCTGTTCCCCGGGGAGACGTCCCTACTCCTCCTCGGGTCCAGGTCGGGAGGTGGCGACGGTCCTTGGCTGGGGTTCCTGGGAGACCTGGGGAGAGGCCGTCTGCGGGCCCCTGGCCTGCAGTGTCGTCATCGTCGCTGGACGTTTCTGAGAACCCGGTCGCTAGCGAACCAAACCCCTGTCTGATTTTTCTGCCCTGCCTTCGTCGCCATTTGCTTTGATTCCAGTGAAAGAGTTTTTTCGGGGTCCTTGTAGGACCTCGAGGTGAAAAATGCGAAAGGCCGAGATATGGACACGTTTCGAGGTGTCGCATACGTGTTTCCAAATCACCTGCTTCCCCCGCACCCCACCCTCAAGCGGTGGTTAAAGAGTGTTTGAAGCCTAGTCAGAGTGGATAAAGAAGTCACTGGGATCTAGTAGAGATTACGTTATGTCCCACTCTTTAAGCCTTATGGAATATTTCGAAGGCGTTTGAGAACGAGCTGTCCGGAAGATCAGGTGGATTTTTCATTTCTGGGAAGTAGTTACTGTGCTTGACTTGGAATGGGTGAAGAGTGAAGGGAATTTGTGGAAATTGCCGGGCGGTTAGGAGACTGATTAACTGAGTGATCTTGGATAATAAGACAAGACACTTCTGTTTTGTCAAAGTCTGTTTTGTCAAAAATAAAGTTTAACTGGGTTTTCTCAAAAAGCCCTTCCAATTTTGAGATTATTTGATTTGGTCCATGTAACTGAAGAATTCGGCTGCAGTTCAGCCTGACATTGCCCCCCTCCCCTCCCTTTGCTGCAGTGCCACCAGTACACAATAAGATACTTTCATTCTAGAGAGTGGCTGTTACATGGCCTGGGACCAAAGAAAGCATTTATTGTACAGACCAATGCTAGGCGGATTGGAGGTGGTCAATTAATACTTGTTGAATTGAATTGTGGCGATTTCATTGTAACCAGTCAACAAAGCACTGTTGCTGTATTTGCTAACCAAATGTGAAGAAATAACTTTATTACATAGTGAACCAAAATGATGATTTGCCCCAGAATGTTTCTCCAAGTTTGTGTTGTCTCTGAATTACTAAGATTCTTGTTCATTATTTTAGGCAGTTTTCACCAATCTTAAAAAGTAAACAGGGAAGCTGGCTACTTAATACGATACAGTCTTTTGCTCATTCTCTTCTTGATCTAAGCATTTACATCTCTAACTTTATATTGTATCTAAAGGCAGATGACCGTTATGTTAAATCTCACCTTTTCATTCTGAGATAGTATCAGTATTTCTTTGGGTAGCCAGCTGTCTTTTAAAGGTAGCTCTTTCATGTTTTAAAGCGTTTTAGAGCTCTATTCAAAAATGAGAGGAGGGCAGTTTGTTTCAACTTTTCAAGGCTACACCCTGGAAAAGAGACCAGCCTGTTTGGAAAATAGCCTTTGGAATAAACTGCACTTGTAACTCCAAGCCTTTTTTGTAAGAAAGTCTTTCGTATTTGCCTTTGGTGAGAACCAGTTACTGGGGTTAATCTTATCTAAATCGGATAGTGTGTCGAATGGTTTTCAGCCCAGAGGGACCCTGGAAGTAGTTTTCTGCTCCTCTGTGCCCATCTCCCCATATGACAGATAGAGATACTGGGTGTCAGAGAGATTAAATAACTCATCCAGGGATGTGTAACTTATTCATGGGAGACAAGAATTCAGGTGTTCCAACGTGTGCTGCTTTCACTATTACAGGATTTCTCCCATCACTTAAATTTTTAAGCGGGCTGAAAATTGGAAAGTACAGTTACATTTCTCAAGTTCATTGAGAAAAATTAAAACACTTCTCTAGTGCCTACTAGATGCCAGACACTGTTTTAAGTGCTTTATATACGTTGACTCAGTAATTCTCACAGCTACTCTATGAGATAAATACTGTTTTTTAACCCATTTGTACAGATAAGGAAACATCTGTGCATAGATTAACCTAAGACCAGCTGGGAAGTGGTTTTGCAGTTTAATAAAACTCTTCTAAATTGCCTGTAATTTGAGGGCAACACTGAAAGTTGTATGCATGGGCAAAAAAGAATAACACTATAAATTCAGTCAAGTCTTTTTAAAAAATTAATACTCGCAAGGGGTCACACTAAGTGGTCTAAGAGGTACAGAGAAGCCTACCCTTAACAATAATCAGTTGAGGAGGATGGCATGAAAAATTAAATTACAGAGAAAGAACCAGTGTAAGAACTTCATAGCAAATGCTTGGTGGAGACCATTAGGGCTGGGAGTTTAGAGAGAAGAGAGTGTGTGCTCAGGTGATCTGAAACCTGAAATAAAACCCCGCCCTTCCACTGCTGTTGTGGCTTTTCTCTTGCCCAGAGTAGGAGCAGAGAAGTGTTGGGGGATGAGGGGAGGACCTGTCACAATTAGGGGAGGAGAGGATGTCCCCGTGCCCTCTTCTCTGTCCCTTTGGGTCTCATTTTCTCCTTAGGATCTCTTCCTGTTGAGTCCCACTGACCCAAGGGGTTTCCTGCTCTTTAAAGCTCTGACCGAGGTGTGGGCACAAAATCAAGATTCCTTTCCTGTATTCTCCTTAATATACCTGAGACAGAGCAGAATCTTCATGGAGACTCCTGGTGCTAGACTGGCTCCCTGCCACTGCTCAGGTGTCCCGTTTGAAGGTCCCACCTGGTTAGAGTTTAGATGATACCCACTTGCGTCTCCTGCTCTGTCTCTTAACTCGCCCGGCTCTGCAGTGAAAACAGCGGTTGGCAGATGAGGCCCGTTGCTGAGGGGTCATCCTTCATAGGCCTTCCTCTTAGAAAGAATCTGTGTGTGCACAGAAGCCCTCCCTTACCCATGTGTTTGGTATGGTGGTTGGAGCGTAAACTGAAGGGTCCCACAGACCTAATTCCAAATCCTGGCTCTGTCATTTAATTGCTCTGTGACCTTGGGTATGTTATTTAACATCTGTAAACCTTGGTTTTTCATAAAGTGAGATGATAGTCGTACCTAATGCCAAGTACATAGAAAACACTCAGTAAACATTGGTTTGTGCTGTTAAGCCTACTAGAGACTTCGTGAATTGAACCAGTGAGGGGCAAATGGCGTTTTAACTTAACTCTGGAGGATAAGTAGGATTTGAAAAGGCAGAGAAGACTGGGAAGAAAATCCCAGGCATTGAGTGTGATGTGAGAAAAGGACTGATCAAAATAGAAGGCATGTTTTGTAAATGCTGAGTAGACTCATCCAACCCAGGATGGAGAGGGTTCATGCAGGGGAGGGGGGAGAAATTGATGGGAACTGAAGCTTGAGGGGACACTGGGACCAGGTGCTAGGAGTAGGTGACTGCAGGGCGATAGAGTTTTAGTAAGAAACTTAGAGTAAGGTGGGAGACGAATTGTGAGGGGGAGGGGAGGGAGAAAGTGAAGGCAGGAAACCAAAGAGAAGCAGCTGGACTTCAAGGACTAGATAGAAAAGTGTGAACAAAGCATTTCTTCTCCCTGGTGCTTGGAGTCAATGCATGTGAGGAGAGAGGAGTCAGGGAAGATGAGGTTCTGAGCCTGAGTGATGGAGATGTTAGTAGACTATCCAACCACTAATTGCCACTAAGTAAGAAGATGGTATGGGGGCTGTAATAGTTTGAGTAATTCTTATTCTTTTGTTCAGTGTACCAGAATTAAAGTCTGTTCAGTTCTCTAGGAGATAAGTACAAAGACCAGAATCCTTGTCCTTGAGAGGCTTAAGATTTACTTGGGAGGCAGCGGTAGGAGCCGCAGCTCAAGTAAAGATAACACAAGGAGAGTGTAAGTTCCCTAAGATAGGAACAGAGAAAGGACTGAGGGTGTTCAAAGGAGGAAGGTATCTTATTTAACTTGTAATGTCAGGAGATGTACATCTTGAAGGGCGAGTAAAAATTTAACCAATAGAGTTGTTAGAGGTGCGAGATTGTTCACAGCGAATGGGTGAAGATGGAAAGTCACAGCCTACACTTGGGGAACATTAATGGGCCAGACAGGCTGAAACATAGGGGCTCACGCGTAAGAAAATTAACTGGAGGTAAAAGTGGAAAAGCAGAGTGGGGTGTGGTGTTTGAAGGCTCAACTGGTAGATACCAAGGGCTCATTGAGAGTAACCGAGGGGAAGGAGGGAAGGACCAGAAGCGTACTTTGGCAGTACTGGGTTGATCTTGGCACGTTGTTCATTTTGGAACAGGGAGAAATTGGAGCTAGAGAAACCGTATGGGGCTGTGCACTAGTCTAGGCAGGAGATGTGGAGCCTGAGTTAGGGCGGTGGGAAATAATCGTGGGCCGCGTAGCAGGGCAAGATAGTCTTTCTTTTCACTTCTCAGAATGAAATGAGGGAAACTAAGGTTCATAGGAACCATTTAGCCTCCCTTTGGGAAAACGGTAGCCGAAGGAGGGGTCTCTTGGGCTCCCTACTTGTGGCCTTTTCCTGTCGAGGTCCTTTCTGGCTGTGGCTGTTCTGAGGGAGGCGGGGTGGGTTCCAGAAGCTGCCGTTTTAGCTGTCAGTTACTTCTCAGGGCCCCTCCAGCACTCTGCGGAGGTGTTGAAACCTCCTTAAAACCGTTGGCACAACTGCTTTGTACTATATTTGTGTAAAAATAGGAATCGTGCTCCTCGTCTTTCTATTCGTCAGTTGAGCGAGACCCCTTGCATGTTGTAGATCTGCAGAAGTGCTTAGGAAATTGCATAATTGTAGCTGTAAGGACTTTACAGATAAAGCTGCTCTGAAGTTGAAAAACAAAATCTATTACCCGCAGCAAAGAGGGAGAGGTGCAAAATTAGTCTGAAGGAGTCAGCAGGAAGGGCTAGAAGGTAGTTTGCAACAGGACTTTTACCAGTTTAAAGTAACTGGAGTAGTGACTTAATTCCTACATTCTTTTTACATTTACGCAGAAAGCCTTTTTGAATATAATGTCCTTTATTGTTATTATAGACTGCTATATAAGGATTTTTGTTCTTTATTAAGGACCGAAAAGAGAGAAAGAAACTATTCCTGTGATAAATCTCAGATTAAAATCGTGTTCTTTGTGATTAAAACAGTCATCACCAAAGTTTTCTGGTTACACGTTCCTATCAATAAAATCTGTTTACAAAAATTACAGACATGTACTGTTACACCAGTGTTTTGTACAATGAAAAATGCATTCAGCTGTGCTATTTGAAAATAATTTTTGTGCTTTAAATGTACGTGATCCCTTTTCCACCAAAATTACTAACAATTTTTTAGTGAGAGCCATGTAATTAAAAATGCTTTGCTCGCTTAAAACTCTTGGCTTATCTCATTGTGCTACAACAGTTGGATGCACTGCCTCTAAAACATGAATTTGATGCTTAATTTTGATGGCGGTAGAGGTGAAAAAGATGCTTCACAAGGGTTTGTCAGTTCAGATGGAAGAAACACATTGTTGACTCTGCTTAGTAACTCGTGGCTGATCCTTCCACCAAGTATGCTAGTACATTTCCACTTTCCATGCCCTTAAACCAGCTGTTCTTACAAACTAATCAAAAGATGTTTAATCATTTTAACAGATAGGTTTAAGACCCACTAAAATTCTTCATTTGAAAGATTTTTAAAACATACTAGGAAATGTTTCCAAGTTTTTTAAATGTGTAGGTAAGAAGGATTTTCCAGGATACTTAATATCATTTTGGGCAGTTAAAATTATGTAGTAACACACATCTGTTCTCATAATAGTTCTTTCCTCAAATTTTTTTTTAGCTGCTACTTTCTCACTGATCGGTTGACTTCTTGGTTGATATAGATCAGCATTAGTTTTTACCTGCTAATGTGGCTGAGTAAAAAATTGCTCTGGATAGAAGCGTCAGCTGTGCCATTTTCTTGTTTGTGTGTGTTTCCATCATTAGTATTTCCCCTAAATCTAGTTTCTCTGCAAGAATCTTCAAAACTACTTGTCTCTCTTTTTCTTTTTTTTTTAAGATAGAATTGACAGAACATTATATTAGTTTCAGGTGTACAACATGATTCAATATTTGTATATATTGTAAAGAGATCATCACTAATCTAGTTAACATCTGTAACCAGAGTTATGAAACTTTTTTCCTTCAATGAGAATTTTTAAGAACTATTCTCTTAGCAACTTTCAAATAAGCAATACAGAATTATTCACTGTAGTCACCATGCTGTGCATTACATCCTCAGGACTTAACTTATTTTATAGCTAGAAGTTTGTATCACTTGACCCATTTTGCTAGTTCCCCTCCATTGCTTGTCTCCTGTGTGATGTGCGACAGTTGAGCATTTGAACCAAACGAGCTCATTAGTGTCACTTTGCATATTAAATATGGTTTATTTTCTCTCAATTTTAAAATACAAATAGACATTCTGACTCTTTCTGTATCCAAAGTGGATCATCTTGTACTGACCAAGGCACCCATAAAGATAATAAAAATAGCTAGATGGTCGACAAGCAAGCCCGGGGCTTCAAATTCGCCTCCACTGTTGGCTCCGCTAGGTGGGTAGCCCCTTGCTCCTGAGCACGTCTCTGTCCGTTGTCTAAGCCTCGGCTGTGTCCTCTGTGAGAAGGTGCCGGCCTGGACTGTGGTAGTCCTGGGAGGACAGGAGATGGGTGCCGGTGCTGCGTGAAGCTTGGTCCCCGGCAGCCTGCTGACCTTCAGCTCGCTGGGCTAAGCTTGTAAACACGTGATGTCATCACCTGCCCCCCACCTGGAGAGAAGGCACTTGGACTCAGGCAGACACCCTGAGGGTGGAACCCACCAGTTGGAGGTTTGTTTGCAAACCTTAGTGTGTAAAATGACAGTGAAAAGAGTGCGGCTTGGAGGCTTTTTTCCTTTCCTTTCCTCTTCAGAGGCATTCTTAGTGCCTTGATGCCTCTCCTTGTATGAAGTGTTAACAGTGCGGGTCACTTCATAAAGGCACTCATAACTGTTTCTTACTACTTCAGGAAGAGCGCGGAAACAGCTATTAGAAGACATCTCCTGGGACAGAAAGGAGAGCGCACGTCCTGTTCAGATCAGGTCAGGTCCCTGAGCCTGAATGATGACAGCTGAGTCGAGGGAAGCCACTGGTCTGTCCCCCCAGGCTGCCCAGGAGAAGGACGGGATCGTGATAGTGAAGGTGGAGGAGGAGGATGAGGAAGAGCACATGTGGGGGCAGGACGCCAGCCTGCAGGAGTCTCCTCCTCCCGACCCAGAGATATTCCGCCAGCGTTTCAGGCACTTCTGTTACCAGAACACTTTTGGGCCTCGAGAGGCTCTGAGTCGACTGAAGGAACTTTGTCACCAGTGGCTCCGACCAGAGATAAACACCAAGGAGCAGATCCTGGAGCTGCTGGTGCTGGAGCAGTTCCTTTCCATTCTGCCCAAGGAGCTCCAAGTCTGGCTGCAGGAGTACCGTCCCGATAGTGGGGAGGAGGCTGTGACCCTTCTGGAAGATTTGGAGCTTGATCTGTCAGGGCAGCAGGTAAGAAGGGGTGAAACCTGTTACGTGTGAGCACCGCGTGGACTTTGAGACCGGAGCAAAGAGAAGGTTACTGATTTAAAGCAGGTTCTGATGGTTTCTGTGGTGCTTTTATCCTGCTCTGCTTCGATATTGAAAAGTGTTCCGCCCTCTCCCTTCGGCACCCACTGGTACACTTATCCCTTCATTTGCTTAAATTCCTGTTTAAAAAGTAATTTACCCACAAGCCCAACCTGTTTGTCCTCAGGTCCCAGGTCAAGTTCATGGACCTGAGATGCTCGCGAGGGGGATGGTGCCTCTGGATCCAGTACAGGAGTCCTCCAGCTTTGACCTTCATCATGAGGCCACCCAGTCCCATTTCAGACATTCGTCTCGGAAACCCCGCCTCTTACAACCACGGGGTAAGAAGCAAGGTTTCACACGGGGCAGAGGGGCGGGCAGAGCAGACTATATGGGATGGGGGTTACCTCTCTGTATTGCGAAGTGCCTGTAATAAAGAAGCATGTTGGTTTCTATTATTACTAAATATCAGAGGAAATATAACTTACAGACCAATTTCAGGAGTTAAGTAATGTTACTGAGGAAGTAGATGAAATGTGCATAATGAACTTGGGTGAAAATTGTATTATTTATTGAATTATTAGCATTCTGGATGTCTAGCAGATTTTTTTCCACAGGAAAGTGCTGGGAAGAGATGATATATATATATATATATAAATATATATATATATATACACAATACTCTAGTGTGTCATAAATTATCTCTAAAAGGGTCATTTTATTTTTTTTATACATTCTTCATTTGTTTGTTGTTTTGTTTTGTTGCAGGGGGACATAATTAGGTTTGTTTGTTTATTTGATAGAGGTACTGGGGATTGAACCTAGGACCTCATGTATGCAAGGCATGCACTCTACCACTGAGCTATACCCTCCCCTCCTAAAAGGGTCATTTTAAAATTCATTTTATGTAAAACGTATAGAATACTGTATGACATCACTCTTTGCATAGATTACTTTCAGAAATTCCAGGAGTGGGGAAAGGTTGGGGGAAAAAAAAAGTTTTGTGTTTGGTTGAAGAACATGAGACCAAAACAATCATTTCAGGATCATATAAATAAAAATCAGTTTAACTTTTTTTTCCTTTGAGGGAGATACTAACAATATCTTTACCCAATTTTTAAAAGTAGGTACATAGAGTATGAGTTTAAAAAAATAATAACATGCTAAAAGTATGGTTGTTCAACAAGAGTTGGTAAAGGCACATTCCTCAGCCAATGTGTATTTGTGATATGATGATATTTAGGGTAGGAATAGTAGAGCTTAAGGAAGCATTCTCTTCCGTGAATTCTGGGAGGATAACCAGCATTCATATGCTGGAGAAATCTGTGTAAACCAGTGTGCTGTGATGTTTAATCCACTGCTGTCAGCCCAGTCCCGTTATGTCCTCCGAGGGCTTGTGAGCTCTCTGCACCCTCCGCAGGGTGAAATCAGGAAATCTAAAAGGTTTTAAATTGCCAGGATTAGGGCTTCAGGTTCCCGGAGTAACAGTTTTGGAGGCCTGGACACATACATTTGTCACTTGGTAAATAGTTCTTCGGGGAATTGAGGCGCGTGCACTTACTCTCAGTGTCCTCTTTGTGCTGCTCATCTTCCAGAGTACTTCCTAACCCTCGGAAGGTTGAAGAGCTGCGTACTGATCCTTTTTACATTGTGCTTTAGCTTACATTATCACTGTGTGGTCTGAAATAGCTACAAGATTTAGTGATTCCGCTTCAAATTCATTTTTCTGGTATCTTTGCAGCACAATAACATCATTACCAGTAACGTTTCCAAATGTAGCATTACTTGGCAAGGGAGGATTTAATTTTGCAGTTTAAAAATTTTCCCGTTTTTCTTACACGTTGCAGCTAG